ATAATATATATATATATATATATATATATATATTATATATATATATATATTGTTAATATGTAACATTAATAATATACCAATAAAAAATACATTACATATATAATATATGTAAATAATATTAACAATATATATAAAAAAATTTAAAAATAAGGGAATAATTATTAGGCAATATAAAAGATTTTTGAATAAAATTTTTTCAAATAATTATTACATGAACTGTATGATTACAATACAATAAACAAATGAATTTTGTTTATGAACATATACTGAACAACATAATATAAATTTAATAATAAGAATCACATTCTACAAATGTTAATTAATAAATAATACACGAAATATTAATAAAGGAATTTAATATTTTTTTTCACATTTATATGATTTCTGTATATTGAAAAATTATTAATTTAGTAAAAAAATATATTTTAGTGAAAAATATATAGATTATTATAAATAATTTAGTATGAAAAATATATGAATTTATCGATTTTAAATTATCAATATACTGTTAATAATAAAATGTTTCTGATATAAAATATTTTATATAGATATCAGAAAATTTTTTCAATTTTTTTTAAATATATAAATAAATATAAATAAATAATGTTTGCTTTAAGAAAAAAATAATACGAAAATAAAACTAAATACTTCAAATTATATATTAGAAACTATATAATTGATGTATTAATAGAATTAAAGAATTCTTAATATTTATCATTCTTAAATATTTATTGCAGTAATTTGAAAAATCAAACTCAATTGATCAATTAATATGATTATACGAATTCTTACTTCATTTAAAAAATTCACGTATAATATAACACATATATAAAATTCATTTGTTTAATTGTTTACGTATATATACACGATTTATATTCGATTTACATATTCATGTTTATTCTAATTGTAGCCTTACTTTTTCAAAAACGGGACAAAATTTTTATAAATTTATCTTTTATGTTTCACTTATCTTGTTATATTATTCAGTGTAATTAAGAGACTGGAGCAGTATTGGAACCAGTGGAATATGGATTAAAGTACAAAACAATACTCCCTATGATTATAACAATGGAATTAATTCCTCTGGATTTGGATTTGTAATGGAATGCTGCACCAAACGATTCAAAAGGTGTGTGATTGAATTGTATAGTGTTCCATATAACTATAGATTGCAGTCATAGTGGTAATATAAAGTATAATTGCAAATGATAGCATTGAAAATAAATTTCACAAATATTATTAGTACAAAAAGATATAGGAATTTTTAAGATTTTAAATTAATTTTAACAAAATTATATTAGATTTTTAGATTTTAATTTTATTTATATTATAAAAATACTTATTAATAATTATTCAAAAATAAAAATCAAATCAATATATAGTTATTTATTCTTTTTTAAACAATTCTTTGAATTATTAAATATTATTTTGCCCATAATATTATGCAATTAACAAAATTTTGTATATTTGTCTTGGAATAAATATTGTTAATTATAAATTTAATAGTGTATAGATTTATATGTATTAAATTAATAGCTTTAGATTATAATTAGATGATTAGATGCTTTAATAATTAATTATTATCTAATTTATTTGATTCATTATTCAATTATAATGCATAAAAAATTGTATTCAATTTTTAATAGATATGAAAAATAGATATCTTAATTTTTGTATAATTTTTTTTCATTGAAAAATATAACTTAAATATTAATAATTCTAATATTTTAATTAAATAACAAAATATAACTATTTTGATGATCATTTAAGTATTTCTATTATATTTTTTTAAAAAAAATTTTTTTTATACTAAAGAATAATTTCTAAATCATATTTTTATATATCTTATGTAATTATACTAATTACCACATAAAAAATTTATACAATGGAACTAATAAAAATTTAATGATATCAATTCTAAAATATGGCATTTGTAAAATTAATATTTATTCCTTAACTTATTAATTATTTATTAATTGGATCTATGTGCGCAATGGTTTATTTAATATTATATATAATCTAGATCAAAGATGATCAACTGATAATTTGCAAGCTAAATGTGCTTTTTTGCCTGTTTTTCTTTATTGTTCTATCATATTGAAAATTTAATTTGAAAACTAAACTATATTGTGACTTGAGCAAATTTTATATAAAATAAAAATTATAATTTATAATAAACAATAAAATTATAATTTGAAATAATTATTTTAATTAATTTATCAGTTTTATCATTTTATTTTAAATATGGCTTATAAAAATTAATTTTATTTTTCATTAAGGTGAAAAATTATGTAATTATTCTATCAGTTAATGAAAGTTAAAACTTTCAAATGAAGTAAAAAATAATATAGATTTTTATATTAATTTTAATTTTAAATATGTTGTATATCTTTTGCATATATTCAAATAAACGTGTATGAGCATGGAGTGTTAGATAAAGGAATGAATAGACTGATTGTATAGTTTATAGCAAAGTTGGTCAAACCTGATCTAGGTAATCTAGAAAATAAGCATATGCAAAATAATTTTAAATATGTTTTTTAGTCAAATTTTTTACTATTATATCTTGATTATTATTCTTTCTTAATATAATAATATATAATATATTAATTTACAATAGAAATATTATTTTTTATTTTGATAAAAATGTTTTTAATATAATATTCCATAATTACTACATATTTATTTATATTATATATTTATAATTATTATGAGATTTTTTTTGTAAATAAAATTTTAAACATATATATTTCTTAAAATAATTTCATTTTAATAATTACTTAATTTCATTTATGAAAATTTTTGTATTTATGAAAATTATTAGATATAATTAAAAATTTCTTTTTTTGCTTTTTCATAACATATACATATAGAAATATAATAAAATATATTATAATTATTTCTATATATTTTTCTTAAATTAAAAAATTAAAATTAAAAAGAAATCATTTATCTTAATATGTTATATCATTCAGTTATGTATAGTTATTTTAAATAAAGTATAAAGATTTAATTAACAAAAAATTTTTATAAATTTTTTATAAAATTTATAATTAATTATAATTATAAAAAAAAGAAAACTAAATGATAATTTAATACATATGTTAAACATTAATTATTAATAATTATAATTATTATTGAAAGATAACAAGTATAACTATTACATAAAAAATATTTTATAATTAAAAATAATATCTTTATTATAATTTGTAATTCTATCTGCAATAAGAGCTTTGTAGGAATTTCAAAATTTTTATTTTGTATATAATAAATAATTTAAGAAGAATAAAATTCTATTTGCACAGTAGATTAATAAATATTTTATAATATATTTTATATTTAAAATTTTTATTTTTATTGTAAGAATAATATTTTTTTCTGAATGTTTAATTATTGCTTTGCTTATTTGCAATGTGTGCTATGTAATAGATAAAAAATTATAATGATTTAATTTATATCTCTATATTAGTATATCTCTATATAGTTATTTCATTACATTATATCAATATAAAAGTAATGAATTGTATATAATTAATATAATAACATATAATTTACAAAGATTTTTTAAATGTGCATGTAATTTTTTAAACTTTAACAAAATAATTTTTTGTACAAAAATTTAAAATAGAAGCAGTGTCAAGTTGGAGTTCTACCATTGGGAACAGGAAATGATTTGGCACGTGTTTTGGGTTGGGGATCTTCTTGTGACGATGATGCTCATTTACCCCAATTGTTGGAAAAATATGAAAAAGCAGGCACAAAAATGCTTGATCGATGGAGTATTATGACTTTTGAGCGTACTATATCTTTGCCATGTCCCAAAAGTGTTTTAAATCATTCTGATACTGTACAAAAATCAAATATTGCTAGTCAATATGAAGAGAATATTCTTACCCATATAACAAATGTTTTGGAATCAGATCAAGAAAATATAATTTTATCTAGTATTAGGTATGTATCTTCTATAAAGTGTATATAAGTATAAATTATGATATGAATTATAAAATTAAATTAATGATAACTTATTTTTAAAAATAAACTTTCTATATATAATTTATTATTTAAATTAATTTTATCCAATTTATTTAGTTTTAAATATTATTATTATAAAATATATTTAAATATTATTACTTAATTAATTATATTTTTATTATACATATATAAAAATCTCTATTCATTAAAATGTGATGTAAGAAAAAAACAAAATCAAAAGAAAAAAAATTATATTAATGAAATATTTATTTACAGAATTTTATGTGATACAATAAAAGATTTTGCAGCATATATAATGGAAAATATAAATTCTGAGGACCAACAAGTGGAAGAAAAATGTAAAATACTTCAGCAAAAACTTAATTTGTTCTTAACAATATTATGCAAAGAAGAAGAATATCTAACTGTAGATGATGCTGATAATATTAATTTAAATACTGAAATTTCTGTTTCACCTGATAATTATGAAAAAGGAGTATTGGAAAAGCCAGAAAAAGATATAACAAATTTAAAAAAAGTGCAAAAAAGAAAACAACTTGCAGATAAAGAAATTGTTATGTCAAGGTATATTAAATATTTATTTTATTAAATATTTAAAATATAAATAAATCATTTATTATAACTTGTTCCAAATCTAATAAAATTTTAGAGCAAACAGTTTAAAGAGAACTGTAAGAAAACTTGTAGAATATGCTCAATTGGTTATAGATGATCAAATTAATGTTAACTCAAAACATGATATTAAAATAGCAAATACAAATAGTTCATTAGATGATAGTACAATAATAAATTCAATATTGAGTAAGTATAATTATATAAAATTTTTTAATAAATTCTTAATTTTATTTTATTCTTTTATTATAAATATTTTTAATAATAAAAAATAATATATCTTAGGCAAAAAAAAACAATTAAATATTCCTGGTTTAAAAGTAGACCATGTTGAAAGTTTATCTGTAGAAACATTAATAGAATCTGTAAAAAGTACAGATAATTCAGTATGTATCAGTCCAACTCCTAATGTAGCATCTTTAAGTCCTATACCAGATCTTAGAAGAGATTCTCAACCTGAAGAGATATTAACATTACCTGCTCCTGATGGTTTTGCTGATAGTAGACGAAATAGTGAAAATTTACAAGGGTAAATATTGTAATTTTTGTATCATATAGAAAATATTAATAAAAATTAAATTCAATTTTTATTTATTATTTATTTTTTGAGCACACATGAAAATATTTATAGATATTCAAATATCATATATGAAATTGTATTTTGATAATATATGAAGTTGTATTTAAAAATAAATTCTAAAGTTATTATCGTTTTTTAAAAATTATTCTAAGAAAAAAATTAAATTTTACAAATTGAAAGATTTTTAATTATAAAAATAATAATATAATATATAAGAATAATAAATAGCAAACATAGAAATAATACTTACTGGTAATTAATATTTATTGGATTTTGTTTTAGTTCATTTAACTTTCATACGTCTATGATTCCTTGTATGGATAATGAACAAGAAGCAGAAATACTTGAATCTAATGACCAACAAATATCTGATTCCAATAATATAGAAATTTCTTCAGAATTTCAAGTTAGTATTACAAGAACTACTTTTGATACAAGTTCACCTTCAGAAGATGGAACTACACAAGACATTTCATCTGACATAGATTCAATTCAATCGCCAGAACATGAACAAAAATCAGAAAATAAAGCTAAAATGGAAGCACTTAAAGGTAATTGTAATAATAATATCATTAATATAAATATTTATAATTTTTGTTATATGAATACTTAAACTTTATTTTCTTCAATATTTCTATTAAAATACTATTCATATAATATCTTGAAAATTATTTATTTAAATTATTTATTATTATTTTAAAATTTGTTTATGATATAATATCTTTTTATATTTTATACTATTTTTATAATCATAAAAAAAATTTTTATTATATTAATCTTATTTAATAATTAAATAGTATATAAATAAATCAAATCGTTTTGAATGATAAAATATTATAGTTATAATGTGAATACTTAAAAATATTTATATGTATATTTTCATATTATATTTTATACTTTATTTATATATATTTTATTTCAGGATATATAAGTAGTGATACATTTGATTCTGAAATTAGACACATTGATTCCCCTGATAATTCAGAAATGATCACTAGTGAATTACAAAATTCTGAAAGCTTAATAGGACAAGATTTAACTAGTATTATAAATGGAGAAGAATATGATTCTGTAAGAGAGTATTTAGAAAATGAATTAGAAAATACTGATATTACAAATGAAATTGCTAGACGATCATTTAAGAAATCAACAAAATATTCTACTGTTATAGAAATGGAGGTAATAATTAATACTAATAATATAATATATTTACTAATATTATATATTTATATAATATTTTTATGGAAAAATTTACTCCATTATTGTGAATTTTAATATTTTAATATTATTATATTAATATAAATATTAAATATATTATTAAAATTTGCTCAATTTTTATTAGAATAAATTTAAGTACAAAATGGGATCAACAGAACAAAATATAAACAAGGCAAATAAATTTAAAGAACAAGATGCCAAAGCATCTGATTTATTACGCCCTGTATGTTGCTTTACTGTATCTTCGGATACTACTCCAACAAATGAAAAACGTAGCTTTCCACCCACAATAAGTGTTATAATTAATCCTCCTAGTCCATCAATGTCAATTGAAAGTCAACATGATTCAGATGCAGAATATAAAATGAATCCTTATTTAAGACGACATACTGATGAAAGTATGGAAAGATGTAAGTTAATGTTTAAATTTTTACATTTAAATTCATATAATTTTGTAGCAATATAGTAATATTGATTATATATATATATATTTATTATAGATTATTATAGATGTTATGAATATTGATAATAGGTGATTATATATAATATAATTAAATAGTAAATATTCTTTTAAAAAATTCATAATATTATTTAATAACTTTTTTTGTAAATTATTTGTTCAATATGTTCAATATATGAAAACTTGTAAAATTTTATTATCTAATATAATTACTTTTTGATTTTATGAATGATTAGTAAGTGTGGAACTACCAGAATTGGGTTTTTCTCCTCAAGCAACACGTCGAATTAGTAGTGGAAGTTTGTTGAAAGCATCAGAAGTTGTTCTTTAGCTGCTACAGCTGCAAGATTTGGTGGCTCTAATACAAGTCTACGTCATGAAAGAATCAAATCTGTTGATAAGACAGAAGATGTTAAAAAACTTCCAATTATCAATCCATTAGTTCAGTTACCTATGTGGCCAAGTAAGTAAATGTTTTAATATTTATATAATTAAATTACTCTAAAATAGAATAATATAAAAATATAACAAGATCCATTTTACATTAAATCAATCATATTTTAATTTGGATATCGAATATTTTTTTAAATTGAAATATGATATATAACCATAAATAATTATTACATATTTTTTATGATATAACAATTTATATTTTATATAATTTATAGATGTTAGTGGAGGAACTGGACTTATTAGTCAAGCATTACTTGCAAATGCAGATGCACTTTGTGCTGCAGTATCACCATTGATGGATCCTGATGAAACATTAATGTAAGTTATATATTAAAGAATACAGTAAAATAAAATAAAATATTAATTATTTACAATAATATTGATAAATAATTAAAATAATTTTTTTTTAATTTTTACAGGGAAGGTTATTTTGAACGTTGTGTTATGAATAACTATTTTGGAATTGGCATAGATGCAAAAATTAGTCTTGATTTCCATCATAAAAGGGAAGAACATCCTGAAAAATGTCGATCACGAGCAAAGAATTATATGTGGTATGGTGTATTAGGATCTAAACAATGGTTACAAAAAACATATAAAAATCTTGAACAAAGAGTACAATTAGAATGTGATGGCCAACGAATACCATTACCTTCATTACAAGGAATTGTTGTATTGAACATTCCAAGGTAAATATAAAAATATAAAAATAAAATATAAAATATTTTTATCAATGTTTCATATTTATATTTATAAAAATATATTTTCCAGTTTTATGGGTGGTACAAATTTTTGGGGAGGCACAAAAGAAGGAGATTTGTTTTTAGCACCTTCATTTGATGATCGTATATTAGAAGTTGTAGCTGTATTTGGTTCTGTTCAAATGGCTGCATCACGATTAATTAATTTACAACATCATAGAATTGCACAATGTCAAACAGTTCAAATTAATATTTTGGGTGATGAAGGAGTACCTATACAAGTTGATGGCGAAGCTTGGATTCAACCTCCTGGTATTATACGTATTATACACAAAAATCGTATGCAAATGCTTTACAGAAATAGGGTAAATATTATTAATTTAAGATTAGTGACAATATGCGTCAATAAATATAGTTTACAACTATATTTATTATTTGTAATTTGTTTTTTTTTTTTTATAATAGGCACTTGAAACATCTTTAAAAACATGGGAAGAGAAACAACGCAATACACTCAATGCAATATCTCAATCAATATCAACTTTAAGCACACAATTACAATCACAACCTAAACTTCTTCAAGTACATAATAAGCCAACACATTTAAATGAGGAAGAAATGTATATTCTATTGGGATTTATTGAAGTGGTTACAACTTTAGTTAAATGGGTTAAACTTCTCATTATATCACATCCAAGTTTGGAACCAGATTTATATCAAGTTGCAGCACGAACAGCACAAGCACTTGAACAAGTTCATCCAGATGGAAAAATTTTGCAAGGAGTTAGTAATTTCTTATTTTATATTTATAATTCATTTATAATTATTTTATAATAAAAAATATATAATATATAATAAAAAATTAATATAATAATATAAATATTTTTAAAATATTATTACATTTTTTTATTATTATTAAATTATAAAATATATTCTTTAAATAAATTATTTAAAGAATTATTATTTATATTTAAATATATTATTTATTTATTTATTTAATTTATTTTTAATATAATTTATTATTAATATTGTTTATTATTACATATTTTTTAAAGTAATATATTTTTAATAATTTAATTTCCATTCAACAGATTAATTTAAGACCAGTAGTAACAGAATTGGTGTCAAGTGCAAGACAACTTTATGAAGATTCATGTGAATTACTCAGAGATAAAGCACATAATTTAGTAAGTAATAAATTAACATCCCTTTCACTGTTGTACTTTCGCATATTATTGTTTGAGATTAAAATAAACTATATAATAAATAATGAAATAAACTATATAATATAAAGTTTTATATTATCATTAGAAGGATTATAAAATCAAAGTGATCAAACAATCAACAGTGAAAGGGTTAATTCTTTTTAATATGTTAATAATTGTTAATAATTTTCTAAATAAAATTTATAATACAGAAATTACGAGAAGACTTAGAAAATAAACTTTCATTTTCTTTGGCCAGTATGGAACAAGAATTAAAAAAATGTATATTTGATGAAGGAGGTACAGGATTAGTATATTTACAAAACTTACCATCAGATGAACAGGTATAAAAAATTCTTAATTTAGTAACATATTTTTTAAATCTTCAAATATAATTTATATTGATTAGAATATATTTAATACAATAATATTTATAAAATTGTTTGAATATGTAGGGAGATAAAAAGAATCGTCATAGAGGTTTGTTCTGGTTAAAGTTTCGACGTTCAGGAATTAATTCTGGAACAAATCTCGCTCGAGATCAAGTTACTACATGGGGAGTACAAGAAGTATGTTGCTGGTTGGAAAATCTACAGTTGGGTGAATATACTGAAAAGTTTATTTCTCACGATATAAGAGGTAGGGAATTATTATCATTAGCCCGTAGAGATCTCAAAGAACTTGGTATTATTAAAGTAGGACATGTTAAACGAATCTTACAAGCTATCAATGATCTAAATAATTAAATATATTTATTTAAATATTAAAACTATACAATTAATTAAAAGTATTAATTAATAATTAAAAGTATAAAATATACAATCAAAGAAAAATAAAAGAAAATGTTATACCAGTTAATAACTATCTGGATGCTATTAAACATAGATTTACAAATATATATAGATAAAAATGTATATTATTTGAAAAATAGGAAAAAGATTATACAATTAAAAATTATAAATTGTAACAATAAAGTTAGAATACAAATATAATATGAATATTCTAATAAAAAGGGGCACTTAGTGTGACACAGCAGTGTTATATGAAAATTATTTTCTACACTGCTGTATTTAATAAAATAATATTACTTGTGCCAAATTGTTGAACTGATTCTATGTCAAAAGACAAATAATTATACAAGAACTTTAAGAAATTTTTAATTTTTTAAAAATATTAATATGTTATAGACATGTCTAATAAAATAATTCATATATTATTAGATATGAGCATAATATTAACAATGCATTTATTATATTATTATAAACAAATATTTCAATATTAGATTAAATTAAAAATTATAATTTAATTAAGAATTATATTTATTCTTTTTAATATTATACAAAAATTAAAGACTTGGATAATTATATATTAATATAAATTATATTATATAAGTTTAAAAATATGTATTATATTATTATATTTATTATATTTAACTTATATTTAGAATTTCAGAATATCGTATTAAATTTACTTATAACAGTATTAATGTATTTGAAAACCACATTCTAAATTTAAATTTGAAATAAGTCAATTATGTTATTTATATAAGTATATTCAATTTACAATTATTTTATTTCGATTTTTCTGTGCAAAAAGTAAAATGTGTATGTATATGTATAAATATTAGGAAAAAGGAAAAACTACAGTATATTTATTAAAAGATAATATTTAAAATTTATAGCTTTTTAAATAAAATTAATAATCTAAAATTAATATAATTTAGTACTTTCATATGAAAGTTAATTTGTCACTAAAATGAAATAAAGACAAAAATGAAATGTTTAAAAAATTTAAGTCATTTATATGTATAAATTAAAATTTATTAATAAAAATTACAATATAAATTTTAGAATTCTATTTCGTAATTAATAGAGATATATATGTAATAAAATGAAAAAATAATTTTTTTTATGTAACTTTTTATATTTCATATTTTGAACTTATAAAATTAAAAAGAAAATTCTTAAATTACTATTTGGCTATTGCTAGTTATATGTATGTAAATATAATATATTTTATTTTGTAAACCTTATTTGACTTTTTTCTATAACTTGTACTTATTTAATTTATTCTATAGATATCATTTAGCAATTATTTATTATATCGTTAGTTTGTTATTCATTTCTTAGTATTGAAGAAATCCTTTTTTATTTACTAATAAAAATTAAAATAAATAAAAATTATAAAAACTAATAAAAATTAAAATAAATCCTAATATGCTAAAAAAACTCATAAAGTGCTTCTTTCAAATAAATTGAGTTTGTTACTATTTATGATTTCAATTAGAAAACTTTTATTTTACCAATAATAACAATAATACATTTTTCTAATTGTTTATATCTGTAGCAAATTTTTTAATTTTTTTATTAAAGTTTATTATAGTAGTATAATTTATTATATTATAGTAGTTTATAATATATTTTGTTCTTAAATATTCTATGTAATAAAAATTTTAATATTGAAAAATAAAATTATAGATAATTTAAAAATCACTTACAAATTTTATTAATCAAGAATACTTCTAAACAATGAATATAAAGAATTAATGGAAAATTTATTGAACAAAATAAATACATAACATTACGTACAAATATATAACTGCAAAAAATAAAGTAAGCTTATAGTACTGTGACTTATAAAATTTGCAATAATTGCATATTTAATTTCATGTTACAAGTACAAAAATTAAGATATAATAATTTAAGGTCATAATTATTATTTGTTAGATTAATTATTATTTATATTTAAAATTACATTTAATGTATTAATGTTAGAATTTAAGTATATACAAAAATATATATAACTGTAAATTCTTATTTATATATAAATCTACATAAAATATATATATATACACATATACATACACATATATACAAAAATAACACACTGTGTACATAAAGTGCTCTGCAATTTTTTTATCATCTAATGTTTTATTATGTTTAAATTTTTAAATTAAAAAATGCTTAAGAAAACATTTTTAACACAATCTAACATAATTAAATGAAAGTGAAATTCCTATAATCATTATTATAACAGTTTTTAAATAAATAATAATTAAGATGATAATAATAATACTGATAATAATAAAAAAAAATGTGTATGAAATACCTGCCAATGGCAATAAAAATATTATGTACAAATTTAATGAAAAACTTAGGAAATTTTTTAAACGTACTATAATTTTTTTGTTGCTATGTTAAAATTATATTATTATGTTAACTATGTTAGCACGCGATTGACAATTAAAATTCAGATATATATATATATATATAAGATTTCTATAACATTACATTTATTAACTAGAAATTAATCAATTTAACTTTGAAGTAATTTATTATAAATAAGCTCATGTAACCATTAATATTATTGTAGTTATTGCCACTATTGCTATAACTATTAATTATTTTAAATGAACATATATCATAAATGCAGAAAAAGGAATCACTATCTTTCAGAACTATCTATGGCTAAATTGTTGAGATTTAATATCTTTTTATTATATTGTCTTCGGTCATATTTTCACTTTAAAAAGAGTGATAGAATTTAAAACTATCTGGGATAATATCTAATTTCAAATTTATTCACTTCATAATTCACAGCATTTAATGCATTAATATCAATCTCTTATAAGATTAATGAGCACATATGATTCTCTGTGTGTATGATAATGTGTGCATGATGTATTATATTCAGTTTGGAATATATAATATGGTGCGTAATATATGTATACATGCATGTATGTGTGTGTTTCTTATATAAAATGTGTTTATATATATATATGTATTTATAAATGTTCTGTATATATATTATTAATAATTTCAGTATCCATATTATATATATTGCATTATTATATTATATCATACTTTATAGTTTACATTTATATTTATATTATTGTTACACTCCATTTATTAATTATTATTAATTTTAAAAAATTTTTAATGTTACAACTAACTTGATCAGTAATGCCTCGTTAATTATAAATTAAAAAAAAGATTATATGTATCAAAACTAAGGTTATAAAATTCTATTTTAAAAAATTATGACTAACTATTAATATAAGTAGAATATTATTGCACAAATATTAAAAGTATACGAGTAAATTATTATTTTACACATTCTTCAATCCTTAATTCGAAGTATTGATGAAAATATCTATATGTTATGAAGTACAAATTGACGAAGCACTACTACATTGCTTTGTATGTATGTATACATATCTTATCATTGATCTCAGTATTCATATTTTTTTTTATTTATATCTTTTTGTTAGTATGATTAAGCTTATTAAATAAAAAAAAATTAAATCAATAAACTTATGTTAATAATTTTAAAGATATTTTAAGTTGCTATAGAAATAATTAAAAAATGTTAAAAAAACATTGATTAACATGATTTTTAATAATTCATTAATAATGATAAATTTCATCTTAAATTTATTATTTCAATTTAAATTTATAAATAATATATTAATAATTATTTTCTTCTTGAATTAGTATTATTAGTGAATATTTCATATATCAAAAGTTATAAGATATCAATACTAATAAATTCTCTTGCATAATAAATTTTATAATGAAATAAATGAAGCTTTATAAATATATTTGATTTAAATTATAAATTATAAATCTAATTGATCTCTTTAATGTAAAATCATAAAAAAAGCTAATCTATAAATTGTAACTCATATTAATATTATTAATTAATAAATTATTGTGTAAGAGAATCATGTTTATTCTTTTTATTATAATAATATATTAATGCATATACTCATAATATTTATACTTATATAATATGAATATGTGAAATGCATTAAATATATTATAAAGATATATATAGAAAATTTATGTACAGATCATGTGTCTATACATAGTCTATACACATATATAATTGTAATTATACATAATATTACAATTACACAATAACTAAATCCTTTTGAAATGAGATATTGTAGTTTTAACAAAAATTGGAAATATTACATGATTCAATTTATTAATTCAAAAAACAAAAAAAGAAAAATAGAAGTTAAATTGTTTTTCATTTTTTTATTTTCATTCTCATTCTCATTATATTTATTTCTTTTTACAATATAAATATTAATGAAATATTATTAATAATATATTATTATAATTGTATATTATGCTTTTTTTATAAATATTATCAAATGCTCAATTTATAATACAAAATGAAATTAATTCTCTCTCTCTCT